GCCCTCACCCCAGCCTGCTTGGCTGGGTGCAGCAGCCCAGCCCAGCCTGGCCACTACGTACTGTTCCTAGGATGGCCCCCAGGATGGCCGCCCCGGGTGGGGCACTGGGCGGAGCCCTGCTGGGACCTGCTCTGAGTGGGGAAGAGCTGCCAGGGCCCCAGGTCTCCCTGCCACCTGGACGGTGGAAGGGCTCCGCGGCGCCACCCCCGCTCTCAGCCCCGGGGGTGGGGGGCGTGGGGGAAGGCAAGGGGGAGGGCAAGGGGGAGGCCTTGGGCCAGCTGCTCTAGGGGGAGCCCCTGCCCAGCCCTTCTCACCCCCAGACCAAATGCAGACTCCAGAGCCCCTTCCCAGCAGGCTCTGTCGGGCCTGGGCGGGGGTTGGGGGGGAGCCCCAGCCCCGGGTGGGGCAGCTGCTGCTGTGTGTGCTGCACTTTGACTTTGACTGACAATGGTGCTCTGTGGTCTGGAACGCCCGCCCCAGCCTGTGCCAGCCTCCACCCGCTCCCCGAGCCAGGACCCAGCCCCGGGCTGGCGGAGGAGGCATCGTGGGCATCCACAGGGCCGGGGGCAGGCGCACACCACACACCAGTGAGGGTGGCTGTGTGCCAGCGGCCACTCAGGAAGCCCGGGTCACGACCTGCCGGCCCCACCCACACCCGCCCTGCCACCGGGCACCTCCACCAAGTAACTGCAGCAACAGGCCTCTGCCTCCTCATCACCATAGCAACGGCTGCACAAGAGCTGCCGGGAGGAGAGGCCTGCTGGGCGGGCGGAGAGCGGGTGCCCGCAGGGGCATCTGGTTACAGGCAGGCAGCACAGGTCCGGCCCCACCTGGGCGTCCCCCCCAGGGGCCTGCAAGGGGGGGCGAGCTCTGTCGTTCTTGAAACCAGCCCAGTGCCCCATGTTGTCCCTGGGGCCTGGGTGCTCACCCTGGCCCTGAGCCCTCTCCTGCTGGGTCAAGGGCAGAACAGATGAGACCTCAGGATGGAGTTGCTGCCTCCCACCCCAGTGACTTGGGGACAGTCATCCAGTCCCCCTGCCAGAAGCTGCCAGTGGCACCAGGCTAGGCCCATGTCCCACTGGGCAGGGGCAGGCCACACCCACAAGCGGAGAAACCGAGGCCCAGAGCTTGGGAGGAGGAAGCAGGCAAGGCCCAGGGGCCCTTGGCCTTGCCCAGGGAGTGCGTGCCAGCAAGGCACTCGGCCCGTGGGGCACAACTTCTGCTGGCCAGGTACTGGCGTCCGACACTGCAGCCCAAGACCCTCCCGGGCAGGGAGGGTCCAGCAGGGCCGCGCCCTGAACCCGCCAGCCCTGGCCCCAGAGCACCAGCCAGCAGGGACGCCACCGACAGCGGCAGGCCCGGGACCTCCACGTGGCCCACCCGGCGCCTGCGGCCACGGTGCAGCAGGGGCAGAGGAAGGTTCTGGGGGGGTGACCAGCCTCGCAGGTCAGGGCCACTCCTGGGTGTAGGACCATATGGGTACCTCCCACCAGCTTGCCCAGTACCCTGCCAGCCACCACTCCCTGAACCTTGGGGTCCCCAGTGGACACAGGGGCCGTCATTCCAGCCTCTGCCCCCAGCTCCTGGGGGGCCCTTCCTGCAAGACCGGGGGTGGGGGGACAAGGGCTAACACTCACGCATGCCCACACTCTGTTCTTCTCCTGAGACCTACTCTGCTGTCCCCCGTGGCCCAAAGCCCGAGGGGGTGGAGGGGAAGCTGCATCAGAAGTGGCCCCAGGGCTGCAGGCCTGACCTAGCGCCAGCCGGCTCCAGGCGCCCTAGGCAGCCAGTGTACCCGGCCCTGGCTGCCCGCCAGGGCCAGGTGCCCAGGGGAACCCTGCCAGGCCATGGTGATGCCGGCCACCCTGCCCTGGCCGCAGCACCGGGTTTCTCATTGTGCACTTCGGGCCCGTCTAGGAGACCCAGGCGGGAACCCAGAGGCCCCCAGGGCCAGATGGGACGGGAGCCTCCTGGGTCTGAGTGGGCAGCCTGGTGCCGCCTCCTCAGGCCCCCACTCGGGACCCTGGCCTGCTCTGGACCCATCCTGGAAAATCCCCACGCGGAAACCCAAGCTGCCCGGGCATCTCGGATGCGAGCTGCTGCCCTTCCCGGGGCCGGGTCCCGAGGGCCGGCGTGACGACATCCACCCCGCCCCGGCCCTGCTCCTCACACGAGGCTTCTGCCTCTGACAGCAGCTGTGCCCTGAGCTCTGAGACAGCGACCCCACAGCAGACCCTGGCCTCCAGAGGGGGCTGGCTCAGGGGGGGTCACAGAGTGAGCAATCTCAGGGAGGGCGGCCCCAAAGGACAAAAGGGTGCAGGGACTCGGGCAGCCGAGGTTGGCACAGCAAGGACGTTCCCAGTGGTGAGAAAGCAGTCACAGTCCGGGCTCGTGGACATGGGGGGAGGGGCAGAGGGCGGGCCTGCCCAAGGGCAGAGGAGCAGTGCCGGCGGGGAAGGGGCAGGGTCCCTGCAGGGGCCGGGCCCAGGGACTGCGGAGCCTGGATCAAGTACCCCAGGCCAGCCCTCTGTCCTGGGGACCAGGGCCTCCTGTGACCCCGGGGTCCCCGGGCCGCCTGTCCCCCCACCCCCGAGGCTGGCCCTGGATAGCGCGCTGCGGAGGGCGCTCGTGACTCAGCCGAGCACCGCGAATGTCAGCGGGCGCGGGCGGCGGGCTGGGCACGACAGATCCCCCTCCCTGGAGGCCAGAGCTCAGGCAGGGGCGCGCGGGGCCTGACTGGAAAGGGATTGTGGCCCGACGTCCCTCTCGCGCCATCCCCCGCGCCAGCCTGGGGTCTGCGCGCTCCCGGCTTGCCGCACGTGCGCGCGGGGAGCGCGCCACTGGCCCCGGTGCGCGCGGCCTCGGCGGCCGGCAGGCCCGCGGCGCGGGGTCGCTCACCGGGCTCCGGCGTTTCAGCGTCACGTTCTTCCAGAGCAGCAGCTGCAGCTGGTGCAGGAAGCCCATGGCGGGGCCGCGCCCCGACCGCCTCCGCGCCGCGGCCAGCTCCTCTGCGCGCCCCGCCGGCCCGGCCGCCCGCCTCGCAGCTCGGCATCGCCCGCGCGGGGGCGGGGTCTCAGCGCCCGGGACCGGTTCCGCGCTGGCTCCGCCCCGGCGGCGCGGCGACAGCCACTCGCGCCAGCCTCCCGTCCGCGTCGCCCCCACTTAAAGGCGCCGCGCCGAGGCCGCTGCCCCACCCCCGGCCCGGTACCTCCTGCACCGGACCCGCCTCCCCACCCGGGCAGCTCCTGGGGCGCTGTCCTGCCACGGGGGGCCTTCCCGGCCTCCCTCATCTCGCCGGGCGTTGAGATGACGGCCCGAGCGCCCACACGCTCACCCCTTCTTTCTAGGATGCTCTTCTCCCAGCGCGGCCAGGCCCTCGCGCGAGACCGTTCTCGCTGGGTCCTCCCGCAGGGGCACCCCAAGGTGGTTCCTGGCCCCCGCGGGCGCTCTGAGCGGCCGCTGGGGGAGGTTCAGCCCCCGCCAGGTCAGCACCTCTGCCGCCTTCCTCGCAGTGCTGGTGGCAGGGACTTGGGCTGGACATCTAAGAGCCGGGCCCGGTCCCTGCCAGCTCACTTGGGGAGGGGAGGCCGCCTGGCGCCCTGGATGCAGGTGCCACCTGGGAAGGGGGGGTCCACTGCCCTCTGGACTTCCAAGAGTCAACGTCCACCCAGCCTGGCGCTTCCAGAGATGCCCCCACAGCGGGGGTGGGGCCGCAGGGGAGCTCTCCGCCCCCGCGAGTTTCCCGTGTCCCCCGGGGAGTGAGCCACGTGCTGACTCGGCGGCAGGGAGCCTGGCTGGGCTCCGCCAGGAAGAGGAGAAGGGGCCCGCTGGCCCCAGGACCGCCCTGTGCGGCGGGGCCGGCGGGGCCCCTGGGGGGACTGGGCTGCCCCTCTGTGAGCAGCTCGCTTTTGTCCCCGTGTCCGAGGGCGCGTGATCGCCGCGGGGGTGGGGTGGTACCTACTGGACGAGGGGGTCCTTGCTTGCTGCCGGCGCCAGCATGGCCAGGAGGGTTGCAGGGTCAATTCCCGAGGTGGCCAGCAGGGGGCAGGCGGGCCCCTGCATCACGGGAGGCCGGGTGGGTGGCTCTGATGCTCCTCCCCTGCCTCAGTTTCCCCACTTGTGGGTGGGAGCGGTGGGTCATGTGATGGCCAGTGTCTGGGGTGCAGATGGAGGCTGCACCCTACTCTGACCGGCAGACCTCGGGGGCCGAAGCTCCCCACCCCTCCCACCTCCTCCTCTGAAGTGGGAGGAGGCGCAGCCGGGGCAGGTGGGCAGCACAGCCCCCAACCCACCCCACCGTGCAGCTGAGGACACTTCCCTCTCCCTGGTCAGCACGTGGGGGTAGGTCAGGGCCGGAAGTCTCTGGCAAGCCTTTCCCACAAGCCCCCGCCAAGGAGGAGGGCAGCTTCCTGCCGCCTCCACCCGCTGCTCCAACCCCCCCCCCCCCACACCTAGGGCAGGGACGCGTCCTTAGCCCCTGTCACAGAGGCTTGGCCCGCTGGGGCCCCTGTCAGCGCCCCCAGAATCTCGCCACTACTCTCTCTTCTCCCTCAGCCACCTGCCTCGGGGGGCCCCTCGCCTGCAGCAGCGCCCTCGGGGCCCCTCCCCGCCACGCGGCCCCCAGCCACCTGGCCGAGGGAGCCTCAGCCCCCGCCTGAGAGTGAAACCCCAGGGCCTCCCAGATGGGGCGCCTTCGCCCCCCAGCAGGTTCCTGACTTCGCCCCTGCTGTCCAACCACTTGGTCTTTTGGGGGTCAGGGAAGGCTCCCCGACTGGGGGCCATTTAGCGGGGTACTGAAGGAAGTCGGGGGAGGGGAGGGGGCGGAGCCACGCAGGGCAGGGCATCTCAGGCAGAGGGAGGGCAGAGACGGTAAGGCAGAGCGGTCGGGTCGCGGGGAGGGTCGGGTCGAGGAGAGCTGCCGGCCGGCCAGGGGGCAGCCGTGTGGGGAGCTGCATGGGGCCCCGTGCCTCCCAGACCTCACACGCGGCACTCTTGGCCTTTGTTCCTTTATTGATCGATGGCCCCTCGCTGAGTGGACCGCAAAGAGCCCAGAACCGCCCAGCCCGGCTCGCTTGCACCTTGCCCAGGCCTGCCCGGAGCTGGTCCGGGTGGGCAGTGCAGCAGTGCATCCTGGGCCGGGGGCCTCGGGTACCGAGGAGGCTTGGGGAGGCAGGTTTCCCCACCCCCCAGAACCCACAGGGTGGCAGGTTCCCAGGGCCCCAGGCTCTGCCTCCAGCCTGTCTCAGCCTCACACCCCCACATCCCCGGGTCCAGGCAGGGCAGCCTTGATCTGCCCCAGATCTGACCGCGTAGGGAAGGAGGCCCTTAGCAACCTCTCCTCTGACCCACCTCGAGGACAAACACCCCGTTAACTCCCTCGCTGTTCTCGCCTCTGCCCCAAATGCCTGCTCTAGCACCCACCAGCCTCCTCCTCCAGGCAGCCTGCCCGGACTGGCCCACTCTTCCCTCACCCTCGCACCCTGGCCTCTGACTCCAGTCTCCACGCCAGCCTGGTGGCTGCCTGTGGGGCCGATGCCCAGTGGTTTGATCTGAACACCCAGCTGCCCACCCACGCTGCCCGCCCCCAGCCGTCCTCCCCTGCCCCCCGTGCCCGCCAGAGCTCAGGTCTGCAGCCAGCCTTGGAACCAGCCCTGGAGGTCCTGGTAGACCTGGTCGCGGGGCAGGTGGGGGTAGCGGGTGCAGACGGTGCAGAAGCGCTCCCTCCAGTCGTCGAACAGCCGCACGCGCAGCCGGTCCCGCCAGGCGAAGTAGCGCCGGTACTGGCTGTCGTTCATGCCCAGGAGGAAGGCGGCCAGCTCCCGGGCCGAGCCGAAGTCGTCCACGTGCACGAAGGCGTCCGGCGGTGCGAAGGCCTCGTAAGTGGCCCTCGGGGGCCCCAGCACCACGGGCACGGCGCCGGCCGCCAGCGCGTTGTGCCAGAACTTCTCGGTGATGTAGTCCGGGTGCTGCGAGTTCTCGAAGGCCAGGTAGAAGAGGTACCGGGCCACGGTGGGCAGCAGGCAGGTGGTGCACAGCGGCCGCCGGCTGGCTCGGCCGAACACGTCCACCGGCAGGTGAGGCGCCAGCTGCCGGTACAGCTGCACACGCCGCTGCCGCGCCTGGAAGTTGCTGACCACCCAGGTGGCCACCCCGTTCTTGGCCGGCAGGGGGGGCGCAGGCCCCTGGCGGGGCTCCAGGCGGCCGTAGGGCACGAAGATGTCCGAGTCGCGCCGGTAGCTCAGCACCCAGTTGAAGATGCCGCGGAGATGGCCGAGGCCGTGCGTGTGGCTGGGCGACTCCATGGACGCCCACACCCAGGGCTGCCCGCGCGGCCGCTCAGCCAGGGGCAGGCGGGCCCGCCGGGTCTGCAGCTCCCGGTGGTGGAAGACCACGGCGTCGGCGCTGGGCAGCAGGCTGCGGTTGGTGCTCAGGCAGCAGTGAGCCACGCCGTAGCTGGCGCAGGTGTTGCTGGGCAGCTCCGGGGGCCGGCTGGCAAAGGGCCAGTGCCAGATCAGGATGGTGAGAGTGCGCTGCGGTGCCGGGACACCCCCGGGGGCCCATCGGAGCAGCCACAGGATCCAGAGGGCGGTGAGCAGGGCCGCCCCGGGCCAGGCCCCCCACGGCCCGATGCTTCTGGGCAGAGGCACGCCCTGTGCGGGACGCAGGAAGAAGAGAGGCTGTCTCCCCGAGCTCGCCCACGGCCCCGTCTCCCAGCCCTGGCCCCCCCCCCCACCCCTGAGGACCAGACACTCACCGGCATGGTTCATCCACGGCTCCCAGAAGCAGTCACCCAGGAAACCCAGGGCCCTCAAATCACAGCCGCCACCAGGCAGAGCCCTGAAATCACAGCTGTGCGCTGCACTCGGCTGCACCTGGAAGTGAGCTCCTTTCATCTGCCCTGGATGAAGGAAACTGGGGTGCCTCCCACTCGCCCCCGCCCTGCCCCACCCCGCCCCGAAGGTGACCTTTGGCATGAACCACCGGCCTCACCCTGCCCCCCCTCCGGTCCGCGGGCTGCTGGAAGGGGGCGGTTACAGGAGGGGCACCGAGCTGGACCCAACGCCGTGCGCCCCAACGCTGCTGGTCTCTGGGTGGGCACAGGCGGTCGGTGCGGGGGTGCCGCTCAGCCTTGGGGAAGGGGAAGCCATCCTGGGTGCAAGCGACCCCGCCCTTGAAGGACTCCCCAGAAACTGAGGTCCCGGTCCCTGCCCTGCACCCAGGCCTGGGGCCCCCCGGGCAAGGCAGGCACGCTTCCCTCGGCGACCGCACCGAGCCCCTGCCAGCACCACCCCTGTGGCTGTGGTGTCACCCACTTCCCCCGCTCACGACCTGCTGGGCTCTGCCCGGCCCCGGGCCTGCCGCCCCGCTAGCCTGCTGTGCTCAGTCAGCTCTCTGCCAGCGGCCGAGGTTTCTGCCGTTGCTCCTCCTGGGGCCGCCCCGCCCGCCCCTGCCCTTCTAGAACATCTGGTGCCAGAATTCAGATCCCCAGAGAGGGGAGTCCGTCCTGAGGCCGCAGGGGCGTCTGTCCACCCAGGGCCCTGGACGTGCCCGCAGTGAGCAGTGGGCAGGCTGGGCCTGGCCCCTGTGCGTGCTGCGGGGCCTTTTTCTCCCGCCCCGGGTCACGTCTGCGAAGAAGCCCCAGGCTGGGGGCCAGGCCCAGGGTCCTGGGTGGGAGGGACAGAGCCTCAGCCAGCAGGTCTGGGGGGTGGGAGCACTTCCCTTGGGGGCTCCAGCTCCCGTCCTCCTGGCCCCCAGCTCAGGATGAGGGTGGGGGCCGGAGGGGGCTTTCCAGACTGGAAAGGGAAGCGGTCCTGTGTCCCTGACACGGGGGGCAGGGGCTGGCGCCTGTGCCAGGAAGAGGAAGGCTCGCGTCCAGGGCCCTGCTCCTCCCCCACCCCCCAGCCCGCCTGGGTCCCAACCTGGCCGTCCAGTTCCTTCCCCTTTTGCTCTGGTTCCTCCGAGCCGGAGCCACGGCCGGCCAGCGTGGTCAGATGTCCCCCAGCCCCCCTGCTCCTCACCCTCTTCCCCAGGTGGTGCCCGTCAGCTGCGTCCACCTCTCCCAGACTCTGGTCTTGTCCTGGGCGCGGGAGGGCCGGCCCATCGGGGGGGCCCCCCTGGCCTCGCATTCTGGAGGCCTCAGGCCGGGCAGGATCTTGGGGACCGGGGCCAGATGTTGCAAAAAGAAGAGCAACCAGCAACTGTCCCTGGGACGGCCGCCCCATGCTTCCTGGGGAGCCTCCGCCCGCCCCCTCTCCTGCCGTCTGCCCCCCCCCCCACTGCTCTCAGGGAGGAACCGGGAGCTGGTGGTGGACCCACGGGGGACACGGGCCGCTCCAGAAGGGGGCGGTTTGGCCCCTCAGAGGCCCCCCGCCCCTGGCAGAGCCTCAGAGCTGCGGCGGCACCTTGCGCAACCTTGGAAGAGGGGAGGGTGGGCTGCGGGACCTCCTGGAAACCCAGCGGCCGACCCGGGGTGCTGGTGCCCACGGGCCTGGCTCCCTGCTGGCCAGCACCGGTGGCTGCAGAGGGCGCGTGGCTGCCACCGGCCCTGCCTTCCCAGCTGCCCTGGTGTTTGGGGAGATGACCGCAGGGGCACCAAGCCTTTGGTGCCGCCTGGCATCCGTGCCCTGGCAGGGGACCCCAGGGGAGCCACGCCCTGCCCCAGGCCTTGCATCAGCCCACTGCACCTCCCTGTGGTGGCGGGCACCGCGAGGGTGGCGGGCACACAGGAAGGAGCTGATCCTGTCACAGCCTGCGAGCGCCCTGGCTTCTGGCTGCCAGCGCTCTGCCCTTCCTGTTTGCGCGGCCAGGCCGGCCGGGACCCTTGCCGCGGGCCTCGCCACACCCCAGGCTGCCGCCTTCCTGGGTGGATTCGAAAGAGCCCGCTACCTCCGCAGGGGCTCCGCCGCTCCCCTGACGCGGCCTGCCCCTGGGCTCCCGCCACGGGGCCCCGCGGTGGGAACCCGCTGGCTGGGAAACGGGGCTCTGAGGTCTGGCCCAGAAACGGGTCAGAGCGCGAGGCTCTGGAGGAGAGAGGAGAAGGTGAGAGAGCTGAGTCAGAGGGGAAGTGGGGGCCTCGTCCTGCCGGCCCCTCCCCGGGCCCGCGCCTCGCCGGGATGCAGAGGGCACCCGGCGCCCAGCCCACGAGCAGCTCGGACCCGAGCACACACCGTCGCTCTGCGGCTGAGCCCCTGGCCGGCTGCGGGGCTGACCGCCTAGTGGGTGCCAGAACCAGCGGGGTGCGGGGGCAGGTCTCCAGAGGGCAGGCAACTAGCCTCCTGGTCACCGCCCCCCACAGACGATAAGCTGCCCAGCCCCCGACCAAGGGGTGCCTCGGAGGGGGCCGGGGCCGGGGCCTCGCTGCCCTCCTGCCCGCTCCCAGAGTCGGCCTGCACAGGGCAGCGAGCTGCCAGGCGCCCGAGGCCCCCTGGTGGCCGTGCTCCGGAGCCACCTGGGTCCTGGGAGTGAAGGCGGCAGAGGGAGCCCGAGTGCAATTTATTCCCAACCAGAGGGTGGGCGGGGCGTAGTTCAGGCTGCCCCTGAGGGAAGGTGGGTGCACCAGGGCAGGGTGCAGCCAAGGGGACACCGCCAGGGTGGTGCAGGGGCCAGTGTCAGCAGGCGGGGCAGGTGCGTTCCTCCTGCCTTGAGTGACACCCCCTGAGCCCAGGGGTGCCCTGCAGGCGCCAGCCCTTCCTCTCCAACGCCCTGTCCTTGCCGCCCGGGCTCGGAGCCCCGCTGGGTCCCCCTCTGGGAGGAGCGCCAGGACCTGCCGGGGGGCTCCTCCAGCAGCTGCCGTGCCGCACCCCTCTGCTCCACACTCAGACCCAAGGCCCCGCCCCCCCCCGGCCGCACAGCGGGGGTCAGAGGCAGGTCTGGGGCCGGGGGATTCGGAACCCTCACCTGCACCGCAGAAGTGGGGCCCCCAGAGTCCCCGTGGAGCCACGGCCTCCCCGAGCCCTAAACCTGGCCCACCCCGGGGGCCCGTGGGGGGGCCTGGAGGAGTCTGGACAAAGCGGGGCTGGCTCTGCCTGGTGGAGCCCGAGGCCGGCGGAAGCCCTGAAAGCTGGGTGGGCAGCAGGGTGCCGGGGGCCCCCCTTCCTGGAGGGCCCAGCCCCTGCCTGCCCTTCGCGGGCCCAGGCCCGCGGCTCCCTCGAACTGCTGCTACTGCTGCTGCTGCCACTGGGAGAGGCACCCCCTTTGTGGGGTCCCGGGGAGCGGGCGGCAGGGACACTGGGGGTGGGTTGCGGACCCCCGAGGAGGGAGAAAGACAGGACACACTGGGTGGCCGCTCTCCACCCCAGTCAGGGCAGCAGGGGTGTGGAGAGGCGAGTCTCAGGACCCCAGGGCCTGGGCCCAGAGCTCTGGAAGGACCTCCTGGCCCCGGCTGGGCGAGATAGGCTGGCCCGGACCAGACCCAGCGGCCTTCACCTCTGCACCCCCTTTTCTCTGTAGCTGTCTCCCCTAAAGTTGCAGGGGACGACAGTGGACGCACCCTGGTCCTCATCGCCCCGCCCCCACCCCACACAGTCCCCAGCCCCCGCACCTGCACCCCCGACGCCCCACGCCGTGTCGGCCGCAGGGCCCCGGGGTGGAGGCTGGGGCGAAGCCACAGGCAAGGCCTGCATCCTGTTCCTCCCGCCTCCCGGCCCAGGTGGGCAGCCAGCGGGGATGGAGGCGCCAGGGGCCCGCTGCCAGGTGTCTGTGGGCACCCGCTACCCGCCCTCGTCATCCTGCGCGGGACAGGGTACTTCGGGGGCTGGCACGGCGCCCCCCTTCCCATGTGGGGCAGGAGTGTTGGGGGGGTGAGGCCTGGAAGCCGAGGGGGGCGGGGGTGACCCTCTGAGTCCGAGGTCAGCTGAAGCCTCCGCATCCCAGCAGGGCGCAGAGGCGCCCCCCCTCACTGGCGGGGTGGAAGCCACAGGGCCCCGCTCCACAGCCACCCCCTCCCGCCGTGGCCCCCAACGCTGGGGCTGGCTCTCCAGCCCCCGGCCCAGGTCTGAGATGCATTTGAACGGGCTTGCCGGCAGCATTCCCGTCCCCGCGGGGCGGGTCTGCGGGGTCCCCCCAGCCCCCCTTCGGGGCGCAGGCCCTGGAGAGCAGATCCGGGAAACAGAAGGTGCCCTGCCCCCCCCCCGGGGGGGCTTCCGGCTGGCACCCGGGCCCGGCCACACACACACACACAGCCAGATGTCAGAACGCGGTTTCTTTATTGGGAAACGCGGGTCCTCGGCCCCCCACCCGCGGACCCGTTGGTCCCCGAGAGAGGGGGCGTCCATCTTCCTGTCACTGCGGCGGGGGCGGCAGGGGCGGCAGGGGCGCCGACAGCGAGGAGTGGTCGAACAGCGGGTTCCGCACCTCCATCTCGCCGGTCTGCAAAGGTGGGCGTCAGGCGGGCTCAGGGCGAGCGGGTGCGAGCGGCCGGGCTGGAGGAAAGGGCCCCAGGAGCCTGTAGCCGCCCCCGCCCCCCCGCCCGCCCCGCACTCACCGGGGCCAGGCCCGGGCACTCGTACACCGTGAAGTCGCCATCTTCGTTCTCCTCGTCCGAGGAGGCCGAGTCCAGCTCCTTGGGGGGCTCTTTATGCCTGGTGGGGGCGGGATGGCCGGGTCCGCCCACACCTTCCAGGTGCAGGGGCCCAGACTGCAAGCGGGCGCTCAGCCACCTCCGCCGGCGCGCGGGGATGGGGGCGGCGGGGCCTGGGGAAGGGGGTCGGGGCAGGGGCGGTCCGCGTGGGGGGGCATCTCACCGCTCCAGGCACCGCATTTGCTGCCGCTGGTGCTGGTAGTGGTACACCTCCGCGCTGTGCGCCAGCCGCTGGTCCCCGGGCTGCGGAGGAGGGAGGGCGGGTCAAGCCGCGGAGGAGGGGCCGGAGCCGGGAGCCGGGCGGGGCGGGAGCACGCACCGAGATCTTGGGCGTCGCGGGGGAGCCTGGCGCCTGTGGGGCCGCGTAGTCGGCCTTCTGGGTCAGGCGCATGTCCCGCTGCAGCCTGCGGGGGCAGAGCGGAGGCTGAGACCCGCAGGGCCGCCGCCTGCCCGCCCCCCGCCCGGCCGCCCCGCTCACCTGCACCAGCAGAGAGCAGCCACCGCGAGGGCCGCTGCGCCGGCCACGGAGCACGCCACGATGAGCACTGCGGGCGGGCGGGGGGGGGGGCGAGCGGTGAGGGCGGCCCGCCTCCGGGAGGGACCCTGCGCCCCGCCCGCCCGGACCTACCGAGGGCGAAGCCGTCCCCGCGTCCGTCCCGGGGGTCCAGGGGGGACATGTGCACAGGCCCGGACGACACAGGAGAACCCAGGGAGGTGTGGGCCGTGGGCGCAGGGGCTCCCCGAGTGGAGGGGAGGCCCAGGTCGGGGCCCTGGCCTCGGCCGGAGAGCCCCAGGGTGGCGGCTGCAGAGAGGAGGCGAGTTAGCACCGCGGGGCTGGGCTGGGCAGGGGCTGCGAGAACCGGGCGGGGTGGGGGGGGGTGGGGCAGGGGACTCACCAGCCTCCAGGAGCCGGTGGGGCGCCTCAGGCTGGGGTAAGGCCGCGAGCTTCCAGCGGCCTGCCTCCTGCCGGGCTAGCTCCTGGGCCAGGAGGTCAATCTCATCTTCCAGTCTGGGCTGGGGTGGACTCTCCTCTGGGGACAAGGGGGGGCCATCAGGCGGGGCGGGGGTGGGGCGAGCCCCAGCCACTGCCTGACAACACGGGCCGCAGGTGGCCTCCAGAGGGACCCATCCCGGAGCCAGCCCCCAGGCGCACACCCCCTGGCTTCTCTCTCCAGGCTCTCCCCCCAGGCCCACGTGGCCTGAGGACCAGGTACTAACTAGCCTGCAGGCCCCGGCAACATCCTGTGTTGCCACGGTGACCAACTGGGCGGGGGAGCAGCAGCATTCCCAGGAAAAGGGGGGTGGATCAAGAGGTGGGGGTGCTAGGGCACAAGCAGGAAGAAGGGCAGGGTGCCCCTTGCCCCCCTGTTCCCCACAAAGGGGTGGGCGGAGCACTGGGACCCCATAACCCTGCACCCCATCACCTTCTGTGCCCAGGAGGGTGGCGGCTCCCTGGAGAGTGGGGAGAGGCCCCTTTCCGTGGCCCCGTCCCCACCAGGAGGGCAGCCCTCTGGGTGACACTGGTAAAGGGGGTGACGGCCCCCTCCTCCCCATGGTGGGCTCTGCAGGCCAGACCAAGGCTCCAGGCAGACGCCCCGCCCAGCAGCACACCACCTCCAGGGCCCCCCTAGCCCTCTCGACCCCTGCCCTCTCGACCCCTGCCCCACGCATCGCCAGGAACAGGCTCCTCCGGGGAAGCCCCTCCCACGGGCCCTTGGTGTCACCACCGCCCGGAGTGGCACCCCAAGCCACTCAGCCTCTGCTGGCCTCCCCCAGTCTGGGCTCGGGGTGGTGGGCGGGCACCCCAGCGCGCAGGGAGGGGAGCAGTGAGCACCGGCGGGGGGGCGGCAGGGGAAGTGGGCGACTGGGGGATGGGGCAGAACTCGGGGGACCCTGCCTCTCCCAGGGTCCCCCAGGATGTCACATGGGACATCCCCGCCTCAGCCCACCACTGGCTCTGGGCCGGTGCCATCTGGAAAGGACCAGCAGGCCACCTGGAGGGTGACGGGAGAGCGGCCGGCACCCCACGGAGCTCAGGGGGCCTGGGCGCCGCTGAGGCTGAGGGCGGTGGTCAAGGTCGGGGGGAGGGGTCCTGTGCTGCAGTACCCGGAGGCGGGCGAGCCCTGGGCACACAGAGCCCCCGCTGGTCCTCCCGGAAGGGCTGAAGGCAGGGCCCACAGACGTGGGCGCCCGGGGGGCACCGTGCCCGCCTCTGCAGGGCACAGTCCAGGCTCCCGGGGCAGGCGGCTGCGTCTGGGAAGGAAGCAGAGGCGGGCTGAGGTCACAGCCTGCACAGAGGCAGCACTGTCCCAGGCACCCCTCCCCCACCCCACAGAGTTGGCCGGACCCGGCTCCGGCCATTGTTCTGGGCAGGCCCTTCCTCCCTGTGGCCAGGGACCAGCACCAGGAAGACAAACAGTGCTAACACTTATCAGAGCTGCCTGCCCCACCCACTCCCCAGAGTCCGTTTCCCAGCCTGCGCCAGCCCTCTGCGCGGAAACTGCCCCTCACTGCCCGCACAGCGCCGCACGGAGCTCCCCGGAGCCAGGCGGGGCCCCCCACCACTTCCCGCCTTGGGCCTGGGCTCCCGGGTGGGGGCCTGCCCACACTGGGAGCCCCGGGGCAGGGCTCAGGCCTCTCTCTGGCTCTGGGGCAGCAAAGGATGCTGGCCTCCCCTCCCCGGCCCTCAGGGGCGCCCTCCTGACCAGTCATGCCCTTCTCCAGCCCTAGAGAGCGCAGCCAGGGGCAGGGCAGAACCAGCACCCGGCCTGGGTGGCAGTGCTCCCCTCGTGTCCCACCGCCGGCTTGTCCCCAGGGCACAGGGGCTGCTGGGCTGGGGTTGCCTGGGATGGAGTCAGCCAGCTTCACTTGCGTCGGACACAGGGCATGCCTGGGGCTTCGGCCAGGCCCAGGTCCTGGTCCGGGGCCCAGACCAGAGTCCTATACACACGGCCAACAGATCCCATCCCGATGCTGGGGGACAGAGGGCAGGGGTCCCCTCTGCCTCAGTTTCCCCTCTGGCACAGAGGACGAATGGCCCCAAGGCGAGGAATGTCCTGAGCACTGGGACGGGGTGCTGGACGGCAGAGCCGCAGGGCCAGGGGACAGCCCCCAGGACTGTCAGCCCTGCTGCGGGGAGGCACGGGTGTCGGCGTCTCTGGAGGACCAAGACCCCTCTCAGCCAAGGCTCTCACACTGCAGGGGGGTCGCCGAGGTCCAGGGCGGCCCGGGGCATCAGGGGATGCCCAGCCCCGCCCGCCCTCCCCCAGACCCCGGCGGGCCTGGCTCAGTTTTTGTGCTGGCTGGACACGCGCAGCAGTCGGCCAGAGGCGTCCCCTCCAGGGGCTCCAGCGGCCTCTGTCCTGAACGGCCGGGGCCGGCGGGCGCCAGTGTCAGGGAGTGGGCCCGGGGTTTGGGCTTGTTAAATATTAAGCCTGAGCCAGCAGGTCTGTCCAGACCGCACCCAGCAGCTGGGCGCCTGGGTAGCTGGGCGCTCCCTGCCCCTGGCGCTGAGGACCCAGAGCGCACCAACCAAGGGCAGGGGCCTGAGGCCCAGCGCTGGCTGCAGGCCCTGGCTTCCGGGGCCCCCACTGCCAGCCCCCCAGCCCAGGGAGATGCGGCTGCTGCTCTGGAGGCCGCTGGAAAGGTCCCCACTCCAGCCTCAGGGTGCAGCAGGAGGTTCCAGGGACAATGGCAGCGGAAGAGTGGCTGGCACCCCACCCACACCTGGGGGAGCATGGCACCTGCCCACCCCGGGCGCTCAGCACTGCGGCCGCAGCCCAACTCCTCGGGAGGCCCCACCATCGGGCTCCTGGAGCCCGGCTGTCAGTGGGCGGCCTGTGCCACCCCTGGCCCACCAAGCTCTGGCCCTTAGGCCCCCTCCCCCGGTCATGCCAGCCTCCCACCTGGAGGGGGCTGTGCCCAGGAGGGAGCCCGCCCTGCCCTGGCCCCGAGGCCACACACAGACAACCACGTTGCCCAGCTGAGCATTCCAGCACACCAGTCGCTTAACCTCCCGGTGCCTCCGCTTGCTCATCTGTAAAATGGGCTGAAAACAGCACCTCCCTGTGGGGCTGCCAGGAAAATGGAGCGAATGTGTGGGCAGTGTCCCAGCTCAGTCCCCTGGGGCTCCAGGTCCCCACGGACCGTCGCCACCTGGCACCTTGGTGCCCATCTGGGAGGCAGGGAGGGTCTCCCAGGACCTCGGGGCTCCGTGGAGTCCACCCGGGGAGGCGCCCCTCAGCCCCTACCACAGCAGGTGGGATGGGGGCGGCGGGGCCTCCATGGCAAAGGGTGCAGGAGGGAGCCTGAGACTGCAAGCTGCTCCTGTCTCCGCTGAAGGCAGAAAACCGGACCCCGAGCCTGAGACGAGCTGCCACACACCCTAGGAACCTTCAGACCGCCACTATGGCAGCAAAGCGAGGGACGCGTCCCACACCGCCCGAGGCAGGGGGACCGGCAGATGGGCACTGGTACCCCGACCCAGGACAGACAGGGGCAGCAAGGCACCCGGGGCCAGGCCCGCCCGGCGCAGCACCAGGGAAACGCACACAGACAGGCCGCCGGCGGCAGGCCCACGCGCAGAGCCCTCCCGAGACACAGACACAGACAGGCTCACGGACTCAGAGACAAAGCCAAGAAGCGCGTGAACTTCGGGCTCGCCACCAGGAACCCTGGAGAAGCCCTAACCAGCAGCGCCCTTCAGGGCCCCGCGGGCCTGCTGCCCCCACCCCGCACGAGGCGGGGCCCGCGCGGCTGTCAGCGGGCCTGGCCCGAGCGGCCTGCGGGCCCAGGCGAAGGCGGCGGCGCCGTCGCGCAGCACGACCCCCTCCCGGCGCACCCGGCCCCGGGGCGCCCTGCGACCTGCGCCGAGCGCTGTCGCTCACCCGGGCGGCCGGCAGCGGCACCGCGCAGGGCGACTCCGAGGACTAGGCCGGAGAGCAGCAGCCGCCACAGCCGCAGGTGCCGCGGGGAAGGCGGAGGGACGGGCGTCGCCATCCTTCAGCGCCGCCGCCGGGGCAGCATGGCACCGCGAGGCCCGGGGCTGGGCGCGGGCTCCCGGCGCCGCGTCGGCTGAAGCGGCGGAGGAGGAAGAGGAGGTGGAGGCCGAGGAGGAGCAGGAGCAGGAGGAGGAGGAGGAGGAGGAAAAGAGGAGGTGGAAGCGGCGTTGACGCTGCGGCAAAGGATCCGGGATGCGGGCGCGGCGACAAGGCAGCGCGCTGGGAGTGCGCCTGCGCGCTCCACCTGCGGGGGCGGGACCGCGCCTCGAGCCCCTCCCCCCTCTCGAGCTCTGACCGACCCCCGATTCTCCAGGTCCCTGCGTGCCTCAGCCTCCGCGGCCTCTGCACCCGAGGATCTTCTCTGTTCTCCACAAACCGGGGTAGGGACTGGCGGGGTGGGGGGGGCTTTCCCGGATGCGCTTCTCCCGCTCTCCCCCCACCCCGTCCCCGTGGGGCTGCCACCTCCCACCCTACCCGCTGGAACGGGAGACCCGGCCGGGTCTGGAGGCGCAGCCCCGGGGAACACGGGGACGCCAGGTGCACAGGACGCACAGGCGTGCCCCGAAGACGCAGCGGGCGCTCGGAGACACGGCTACAAGCAAACACACACGCGGAACTAGGCCGGCGGCGGCGGCCACCGGGGTTGGAATGGGGCGGCTGCTCTCAAGCGAAGCCGCCAGGGGGCAAGAGTGGCCCGGAGCTGCGGATGAGACTCAGCTGGGAGCTGTCCACGGTCCCCAGGTGACAGGCGGCTTTCAGTGCCCTGGGGCCCCGGGACGACGGAGCAGTTGTGGCGCCTCGGCTTGCACTCCGCTGGTGGCCTCCCGGGAGCACACTCACCCCATCTCACCGGGAACCCTCCCTCCGGCTCAAGCCGCTGAACCAGGATGAACCCCCAACCCGGCGCTCCCTCTGGGGCCTTTGCCCTCGGAACTCAGACGGTGGGGCTGGCTGCTCTCACGTTTGTCGACTGGCTCACACACCGGCTCAAGCGGCGCGGGGTGGTGGGGAGCAAAACAGCGACGCCCCACCGGGCGCTGACCGGGCAGAAAAAGGGCCTGAGCTCAGGTCCCAGAAAGGTCGGCGCAGGCGGGAAGTGCAGCGAAGACCACGCCCTCGCACACCGGCCCTAGCGGGAGAACGCCAGGCTGAGGGGAGGGGCCGCAGGTGGGGGCTGGCTGGTGCCTCCCCGGGGCGTGGAAAAGCACCGAAGCGGGAGGGGAGCGCTCTGTCTCCCCGCGCGCTGGCCAAGCTCGGCTCTGGAGCCAGGCTCTCGGCGCATCCCTCCCAGAGACGGAGCCCGCGTCCCTCCTGGCCCTAGGCTCAGCGTCCCTGCACGGCACCGCCTTGGCGCCCTCCACCCGGCTCCTCCAGCGCCGCCAAGCGGACCCCAGGCGTCTGCCTTGCTCACGACCCACCCTCTCCCACACCCGCACCCGCACCCTGGGCCCGTTCTCCGCAAGGGCCCGGCCTCCCGACCGGCCTAGGCCCCTGACGCAGGGCTGGGGGTGCTGCAGGAGCTCTCATGGCCAGAGAAGACTCGGGGGCGCCGAGACTCCCCCGCCGGCCACCCAGCAGCCACTCCCGGCCACCAGGGTGGCGCAGGGACCGCACGGTCAGCACTGCCCCAGGGCTGGACCCAGAGAGGAGGCAGGAGGGGCAGGTGGGCAGCAGCAGCAGCCTGTCCACCGCTTTAGGAAAAAACGTTTTATTACAAAGTTTTACAAGCAGGCACTGGGCTGGCCCTAGCCTGTGGGCTCTGACTCTCCCCCTAATACAGACCCGCGTGGAGGGGGGGGGGTGTCTCGAGGACCCCGATTATCAGAATAAAAGCTGCACATCCTGGAGACCCACCCTGTAGTAACAGGCTGAGGGCTATGGGGTGTCTGCTCACCCACCCCCTGCAGGAGAAGGGGCACGAGGCCTCGAGACGGAGACAAGGCTGGACAGGCTCAAGGGGCTAGGTTCGGTTCCCTTCGCGCTCCCGGCCCCCCGTGGGCGCGGGTGCTAGCGTCTCCGTCTCGGTTTCCGGGCCGCATTGGGGGCAGAGGTGTGGAGGGCGGTCGGGTGAGGGGTCAGCGATCTAGCTGCCCCCAGCCAGTCGCTAGATGGCGCTCAGCGACTCGGCGGAAAGCGCTGGGAGCGCCAGCAGGACCAGCGCCGCCAGGAGCAAGGCGGAGAAGAGCGCGAGGAGGATATTCCAGGAGACGAAGTTGATGCCCTTGCGCAGCACCGGCTGCTCGGCGGGGATCATGTTGGTCAGGTTCAGCATGTAGCCGAGCGCCCAGCCGACCGCAGTGTCCCCGACCTGCGGGTGACGAGCGCGGACTCAGCCTTTACGCAGCCCCGGAGGCCCCGCCTCCACCCCGGAGGCCCGGCCCTCCCGCTGCTCCCCACCTTCTTCTCGAAGGTCACGCGGCTGAAGGCGGGCTCGTCGAAGCGGTAGCCCCTGCTCAGGAGCTGATACACGAACATGGCCCCGGCGCAGTAGCTGGACAGGCGGTCCTCTTCCCGCGGCGACGGCGACAGAGCCTTCAGCTGAGACGCAGGTGGGACAGTGTTGGGCCCTGGGCTCCCAGGAGGTTTGGGCCCCACCAGGCAGGTGGCCAGCCAGGTGTGCACCACCAGTGCACGCCCACACACACAGGCAATGTTGGGTACAAAGAGGCAGAAGGACCACGACCAGACAAGCCCCTCCTCGAGGAAGAAAAGTGTGACTTTCGGATGGCGGGGAGCCGATGCGTGGGAAATGGACAAGGAGGGGACAGCAGGGGTAGCCACCAGAGAGCTGAGGGCTGCTGCAACCTCAGCATGCTTGAGCCCCAGCCTCGGACCCCCCCTCCCTCGCGTCCGTCCCCCAGTCCGTCTGCCACCATGCACAGAGGACAGGGACCTACCCCTGCACTGAGCTCACAGACACTAAGTGTAATTCTTCCAGAGTCCCTGGTGGGCAGCTGACGCCTCACAGGCCCTGACCCCCGCCCCGGCCCCCCCAGCCTCCACCTGGCACCTGTGTCTGGCTTGGAGCAGGAGCCAGAGTCCTGGAGGTTGTCTTCAACTCTCACTCCTGACCTGAGGCCTGCCTGTCGTGCCTGCTAAGTCTCGCTGGAGGCCTACGCCTGCACCCCCCACCCACCCGGGCTGGCGGCCCGGCGTCCATAGCCACGCCCACTGCCTGCCCGCGGGTCTGCTGGCCCCCAGGTCGTGGCTGGAGGGGGGAGCCTCAGGCGGCTTCGGCAGCCCCGCTGCCGCCCGGCCACTGTCTGGGTCCGACCAGCGGCGTGTCCTTGACCACACAGGGCCCTCTGAGAGGCCAAGCCCCCCCCCCATTTTTCAGGCAATGAATGCCTGGGAAGCTGGGCGGCTGGCTGAGCGCCCCCCCCCCCAGGTCCTGGAGGAGGGGCGCAGGCCTCACCTGGCTCCATGTCCGCTGGCAGACGGTGACCGCGGAGTTCATCAGCTCCTCCAGGCTGGTCACGGGCAGCCGCATCACCGATCTCAGGAAGTCCACGGTGTGGAAGAACGCAGAGAAGGCCTGCCCGGGCGAGTGCGGCCGCACTGACCCCAGGCCCCAGGCGTGGCGGTGCGTCGCCTCCCCTCCCCCGCACTCACCATGAAGTCCCCAGCCACGGGGGGCTGGAAGACGCGGTTGAAGGAGCATCGAGAGAAGGGGCAGGACGAGAAGTCGAAGAGCCGCTCCACGAGGCTGTGGCAGAGGGCGGGGTTGCCGATGCCCCTCAAGGTGACCTTTCTGCTGGTGTCGAAGGACCGGGGCCTCAGGGCTGCGGTGCACGGGGTCTCGTACACCTGTTGGAGCTCCACTTCCTTGGAGTAGCCTTGAGGCCAGCAGGGGTGGGTGCCGTTGGGGGTCTGGGGGACGATGAGGGTGTGGGTCGCACCACCCCCACCTCAGGGCCTGCCCCCCCAGGGCCCTCGGAGGGCCTCCTCAGAGGACCAGCCCGATGGTTCCCCCGAAACGCACTCGGTGACATCACTACTGAGCTCAGGAGCGACCCTCGGCCAGGCAGCCCTGGCCCTCCTCACCCCTCAGCCCGCACTCGCCAGGCCCACCCCCGGCCACTGAGCCTTCGCAGCGCAGGGCCCCGCCCCTCCTGTCCTCCCAGCCAATCACAGCTCACTGGCTCCCGCTGCCTGGAGAAGCGGGCCTGGGCACCGCTGCCCGCTGCCCGCTGGGCTCTGCCCCCGGTCCCTCCCCCACTCCTCCCCCCGCCCCCGCACGGCACCGTGGTGCCGGTGGTGGGCAGGGCTGGCGGGCACCTGGAGTGCGCCGGCCAGCAGCTTCTGGAGGACCTGGTTGAGGCCATAGCAGAGGAAGCTGTGGGTGTAGACGCGGTGCTGCCGGCCAAAGAGCCGCAGCCGGACCTCGTTAGCCCGGTCCTCGATCGGGCTGGCCGTCTCGAAGGTGATCTGTGTGGAGGCACCTCCCAGGTCCATGGCCCCCAGCGTCCCCTTCTTTGTCGGGTACCACTGGCCTGCCCAGCTGTACTGTGAGGAGCAAAGGCTGGGGTCAGCCAGGGACCGGGTGCCCACACCCCCCGGCTCATCGGGCTGGCTGGCAGGCCCACCTTGATGAAGTTCTCCAGCAGGTAGTTGGTAGTCACCCAGCCAAACACCCCCTCGTCCTGGCCAGAGAGGATGCGGGCACCACGGAAGTCGAAGGGGCACTTGGTCAGCTTCTGCGTCACGGCCTCGAGCACCTTGGCCGAAGCCTCGGGCCTGGTCAGGCTGGGAGACGGGGAAGTCTCTGAGAGGCGTCTTTCCGGGGGCAGGGGACTGTGGCCCTGTGGTACCTAGTGGCCCCCCGCCAGCCAAGAGGGGCCTGGCTGAGGGCTGCTGCGGCTGAGGGCATGTGGGGCCCACCCCGTGGCGAGGCTGCTGTGGGGGGCCCAGGGCCAGGAAGGTCAGGGGTTGGGCAGACTCACTTGAGCAGACGCATGCCCGCTGTGGCTCCCAGGTAGAGGGGTGTGCCCGCGTGTCTCTCCTCGGGCACCTCCTGGACCGCCTGTTCCAGGCATTTAACAAGACTCTCACCAGCCCCAGCAGGGTTGTCCGCATAGCTGGAGATGCCCCCACCTAGAGGGAGGCCGTGAGAGGGGCCCGAGCCGGGTGGTCAGCCCCGGGATGGGCCACGGGCCAACAAGGCTGGGGGCCTTGGGCTCCCAAACAGAGTGGCAGCTTGAGCACACCTTTCCGGCTGAAGCCTTCAGAGGCGCCCGCAGGCAAAGGGGCCGGCCGGTGCGCCACCCACAGTCTCTGAGGCTGCCGCTGGGGCAGTGGGTGTGTGCACAGGTGCCAGGACAAAGCCCTGGGCACTGCCACTAGGCCAGGCCTCCCACGAGGCCTGCGGGGGGGTGCCCACCAGCTCCTTGGAGCCCCTTTTGCTCCGTCTGGGCAGTAAAGGCTGGTCCCGGGCCAGGCACGGCCCGGACCTTCTGACCCCTACCCACTTCCTTTGTAGGGTGGAAGCGCCTGCAGCTCCCAGGAGGCCCAGGGCCCTCCCTGTGTCTCGGGGCCTCCTGCAGCTCCTGTGTGGGGCGGGCCCTAAGCAGCAGGAGCAGAGGGGCTGTTGAGAGGCTAAGGCCAGAAGGGGCCCCTGAGGCTGCGCGGCAAGCGAGCGCCCAGGCCGGGGCGCGCCCGGGGCCGGGGGACCCTCACCATCCACGTGGCAGGAGGTGTGCTGGCCCACAATGCCCGTGCCGTTCTCTTTGTCCGCCCACCACTTGTAGACGAACATAGCCGTGTGGGAGGAACCGGCGTCCAGGACGATGCCGTACTGAGGGCAGGGGTGTGGGGGTCAGGGCGGGGGCCTGAAGGGCGTGCCCTCTGGCCCCACTCCTGCTTTCCACCCCACCCCGCCCTCTGGCGAGCTTGGATGTCCTGAGGCTCAGAGAAGGCCAGGGACACGGACGGGACGCAGGAGAGTGGGGCCAGGGGCCTCTTCCCCTCTGAGGGTCAGCGGGCCCCAGGGACAGGAGGGCCAGGCTCTGGGAGGGAGGCCCAGCTGCAGGAAGAACACTCCGGGCCAGCTCTTCCTCCCTCACATCCTGGTCTCTCGGACCGAGGCCCAACCTGAGGGTGTGGAAGCCAGGGCCCGGGGAGTCTGGGGGCGGGGGGCGCCCTTCGCTGCCAGCCCCCGCCCCGCCTGAAGACACCCCGCCCGGGGCCTCTGAGCCAGAGCCACCGAGGGCCGGGCCTGCAGGGCTGAGGGGGCCATGCCGGCGGGGCCCCTCGGGCAGGTGGGACAGAAGCACCCGGCTGGCATCCGCCATGTCCCAGAGCCGGGCTGGGGAATACACCCTCCTGGACGGGGAAGGGGGCGCTCCAGCCACTGCCCCCCACCCAGGGAGCTCCAGCCAGTCTCAGAACCACTGGTCCACCCACCCCGACCCCACGTGGTGGTGGTCCTCGTCTGCGGAGACCCGCCCTGCCAAGGCCGGTCCTGGGCTGATGGGCCTGCCCCTCACACACGCGCAAGCACCCCAAGCCTTCCCCACCCCCGAGCCCACGAAGGGGTTAAGGGAGCCAGCTGGACTCCTGGAGGCTGGGCCTGGCCTGGCCTAGCTCACCCCAACACTTTCAAGGCCTGCCCTGCATGACGCCCCCTCCCCACTGCCAGGCCCCCCCCCAGAGGCAACTGCCACCGCCCGGACCCCGGGGAGGCGAGGAGGGTCGCCTGCGCGCAGGGACCTTCGCACTCCGTCTGGGACGGAGTCCGCTGACTCCCAAACCAGTGCACCCCTGTGGGCTGCCCGGTTCCAGCCGGGGCCTGGGGCACATCCGGGGGAGCAGAGAGACCGCTCCTCAGCCGCGCCCACGATGGGCTCCGCGGATGGGCTTCTGCGAGCCGGGACTTCAGCCTCCAGCGCCGAGTCTCCCCGGGAGCGCCGCCGCAGTCTGGCGGACCCGGGCCGGGAGAGGAGCGCACGGGGCCAGGACTCCACCCCGCTGGTCGGGAGCGGAGCGCGGGCGGGGGCCGTGGGCTGCCACGCGGGAGCCGCGGGGCCCTGCGCGGGCACCGAGCCTCCCCGCCCGCGCCCCCGCGCCCCCCCGGTGCTCCGCGCGCCAGCAGGCACCTTGAGGGCGGGCGGGTCCAGCACATTGGGAACATGGACGCACAGCAGCAGGAGGCCGCAGAGGCCCGCGACGGCGAGCAGCAACGGCGGCAGCAGCCACAGCACCTTCCGGGCCATGGGCGGGTGGTGGACGGACCCGGCGGAGTCGGAGGGGCGGCGGGGAGCTGGGAGGCCGAGGTCCGGGCGCCAGGGAGTAGGCGCCCTGGGCGGGGCGAAGACCCGCAGCTGCCACGGCTGGCCACGCCCCCTGACTGCCGGCACGCCCACCGCCCTCCCAGGGAGCGCTCCAGCAAGCGCAGGTGAGTCACCCTACCTTCCCAGCGCCCTGGTGGCAGCCCACGCGTCCTGAGGTTGTTGCCTGCCCTCCCGCCTGTCCAGGACCCCTCACCCGGAAGCTCCTATCCTCTGACCTGCCCAGCGACCCCAAGGGCCGGCCTGCACTGGCCTGTCTGCCTGTGGACACCTGCGGCGCCACGTGCGCAGGACCCGGAGAACTGCCGGTCCCTGTGGCTTCGGGCAAGAGGGTGTCATGGGGGCGGGTTGGCTGGCTCCGAGGCAGGTGCTCTCGGTCCACCCTTCCCTGGGTCAGGTCCCAGGCACCCCGAGCTGACCCAGGCGGGGCTTGCCCTGCAGGTGCTGAAAGTGCAGAGCTGAGCAGCCCAGCAGGCCTGTGTCGCGTGGGCCCCAGCACCAAGGTGACAGGTGAGGGTGACAGGGAGCTTAAGACTTGGGAAATTTTAGCTCAAGGTAAATAGCCATAAATCTAGCAAGTCATGTGTATGTTAAGCTTTTTGTTTCAGAAACTACAGATAAGGCCCATCTGGCGCCTGAGAGAAATCGGCTGGCCTCCTGGGGTGCTGGCTAGAGATTACCACCTGGAGACATCCATATCGGGAAGAAGCAGGCGACTGCCCCTCCCCCTTGGAGACAGCTAACTGCCCAGGATAGGAGTGCTGCAGCTGCGAACTCCAAGGACTTTCACCGACATCTGTTTGTCTCTCCCAACCCTCTTATACCAGATCTGGCCAGGAAAGAAAGGGGAAGATGGTTTGTTAGGGTATGAACCCGCCATCTTCTCAGATCTCCGGCCATCTGAATAAAGCGCCCATAAAAGATTCAATCAGCCCCTGGCTGGCGTAGCTCAGTGGACTGAGCGCGGGCTGCGAACCAAAGCATCGCAGGTTCGATTCCCAGTCAGGGCACATGCCTGGGTTGCAGGCCACGGCCCCCAGCAACCGCACATTGATGTTTCTCTCTCTCTCTCTCTCTACCTCCCTCCCTTCCCTCTTTAAAAATAAATAAATAAAATAAAATAAAAAAGAAAAAAAGATTCAGTCACTGTCATTGCTTATTGGGTTTGGTAGTGACAGGCAGCCCGAACGCCGGTGTCTTTTCCGGTTACAAGGATGCAGGCAGAGAAGTGCAGGATGGCTAGCCACTCCAAGTCCAGAAACAAGTGGCCTCCTGGTGCTGAGCCACCTTTGCTGCCCCCTGTGCTTGGGGGGTGGGGTCCAGAAGCCTGGAGGGGGGCGGCCAGAGGCTTCTCGAGGAGGTAGCCGCAGGGGAGCCCTCAGCCCTCACGGGAGGCCTTGTGCTGGGGATGAGGGGACGGCCCCCGGCCAGGCTCGACAGCGTGTGTGTCCCCGGACGCGGGCTGGCAGGGGCCACAGCTCGGCCCGCCCCGGAACCGGCTCTGTCCTTCCACCCCACAGTGTCTGGCCCATGTGCTCAGACGCCCCCCACAGCCTGGTCACAGCTTGGCCAGCATCACCCTTCTCCGGCCAGTGGCCGTCCCCCTTCGTGCCCTGGGCAGAGTGGGGGTTCCAGCACCAAGAACCCAGCCAAACAGAAGCTGTGTGGCAAGACCACCCGAGTGCCAGTGGCGGGGGAGGCGGGGGGCCAGAAGGGCGGCGTGTGATGGGGGCAGGGGCTGGGCCACACCCTGGTCATTGGAACTGGCAGGGACTACTGCGCTGGGATGGCTGCCCGGGCTGAGGGTCCGGGGTCACAGGCCCAGCAACAGAGCCTTTCTTTCAGTTCAGGACCTCAGGACCCCGACGGGAAGGGTGGGAACCCCGGGAGTTGGCTCAGCCTCGGAACAGCCCCGCCAGGCCAGGCCCCAGCAGAGCGTGTCTGGGTGGGGCCCTCGAAGGGCTCCAGGCCCGGCTTCCCGGCAGCCCTCTAGCCCCCTCCCCACACCCCACCCCACCCCGGGCCCTTTCTTCCACCCAGAGAGCCCAGAGCGGGGAGAGAGGCCTGCGCTGGAGGCTGAAAAGGGAGGGACAAAGGCAGCCCAGAGCAGCCCCAGCGGCCCATAAAAGGGCATGAAAGGCAGGCGTGCTGGAGGCCTGGCCCCCCAGGGCCCCTTCCTCCCCTCCCCGGGCCCAAGCAGGGCTCCCCGATGTCCTGAGCTGCCCTGGGATGGAGTCCCCCTCCCGCCGGCCTGAGAGGATGGGGTTTGGACCCTGCCTTCGGGGAGCCGGGTGCATGGCCCAGCGCCCAGCTGAGCCCGGGGACAGATGGGAAGGGGGCGGGAGCAGGGAACAGCGGGCTGGGGCGGAGGCCAGGAGTGGGTTCTGTCCCCGGGAACCAGCACAGGAACGCCCCTTCTTGGCGCGCGGACAAGCCCTTCGGGAGCTAGGGCCCTGGAAGGGGGTGGGGATGGGGTGGGGTGGGGGTGCGAGTGCGAGGCCAGCCCCGGCAGCGGCCCAGGGACCGGGCGCCCGGGGCCTGCAGAGCCTCAGCAGGGGCGAGGCTCCAGATGTGCGGCGGAGGGGCGCGGCCGGGCTCCAGGCGGGATGCGCCGGAGCGAGGCGTGGGCAGGCCCTGGGGAGAGGGGTCCTGGAGCCCAGGCCAGGAGCCAGACCTCCCACGCAGGGCGGGGGCGGTCACCCAAGCCTCGGCCACATCTGCCCCAGTCTCCCCGTGGGAAACCTCAGTGTCCGGTGGCTGAAACACCTTAGCAGGTGAGGGCTCTTGGGCCTGTGGGGTCACTGGACCAGCTCTGGCCATCACAGAAAGCGGGGTGCTCATGGCTGCTGTGCTGTGGACACCGGGGCCCCCCACGAGCTGTCCTCCTCGGGGGACAGGCTTGTCAGAGGCCCCCTCCCAGGAGGGGACCCCGTGCTGCCGCCGGCCAGATGTCCCCGCCCCCCAGCAGAGCAGGGGACAGGGACAGTGCGGCAGCAGGTCAGAGGCCGCCTCCACCCCGACCAGGTGGGGGGTTGCCTGTCCCTCGCCTGCCCGCCTGTCTTCCCCTTGCGGTGCGTCCGTCCGCAGCACGGTGTGGCTTCCCTGAGCCTCCGGGCCGCATTCCACTGACCCCTGGATGTGCCCGCTGCTCAGGCCCCGGCTGTGTCACTGCGGCCGGTGCAGCTGGTCCGTGCTGACCTCGGAGAGGGAGCCTCTCCCTGCTGGCTGCGGGCCGTCTTGCTGTCACCGGCCCACTGAAGATTTAATTTATTTATTTTTAGAGAGCCGGGGAGGGAGCAAAGAGGAAGAGAAACAATTGATGTGAGAGAGAGATACGCTGTAGCCTCTTGTGCAATCCCAGCTGGGGGTGCGGCCTGCCACCCAGGCATGCGCTCTGAGTGGGACTTCAAACTGTGACCTTGCGGCTCGCAGGCCGGCCCGCGGTCCACTGAGCCACACCCGCCACAATCATCCTTGTGAGTTTCTAAATCACACCGTCTTTTCTCTAGATAACTTTCTTTCTTTTCTTTTCTTTCTTTCTTTCTTTCTTTTTTTTTTTTAGAGAGGGAAGGGAGGGAGAAACAGAGAGAGAGAGAGACATCAATGTGCGGTTGCTGGGTGCCGAGAGCCAGCCCAGCCCTGCCGTCTGACACAGTCACAGAGGGAGCCGCACGTCCGCACAGCAGACACGGCGGGGGAAAGTACCTGGGCACTCCTCTGCTTAGTCACTGTATTACTGCCCGTGCTTAGGGTCTATGTGACCTACCATGGGGCTGGGACAAATGGCAGTTGCACAGAAGAAATACAGTTCTTTGAAAGTAAGCAAGAAAATGACAGCTTATTGGAGAGTGACTCCCCACCAGAGTGTCCTCCTAAGTGGGCTAGAGAGTTCAGAGAATGGGTATTGGAAAGATGATTATACACTCCTTTTCTATGAATGCTTAAGCGATCGGGACCCCCATGGTGTTTATTGCCTAAAAAGTCAGACATCAAAGATAGAAACAAATAATAAAAATACATCAACACCAAGGTGGATGGCAGGCAGCCGAATGGACTGAGCAACACAAAGATTATTACTTGCACAGGACGACAGGGCTCTGGCCCTGGAGTGAGAAGTGAGAGGCAGGTACTGACCACACTGACCACGAAAGCCTCCCTCATGGCCTTGGCCAGTGAGCTGAGACAGCCCTATGCCCAGCTACGTGCCCAGCTTGCAGCTTTAGAATATATAGGTCAAACTTAAGTCAAGCTTTAAGAAATCAAGGTGTTATATAATGTGGTAAAATGCGTTACTGATTAGTTGCAAAGATTAGGAGCTAAAGCTTGCTCAATAATATATAATAGAGAGCTGCTTCCTGTTTTCTGCAGAATAAGGATAAAGCAAATGTGACTTTAAAACCTCATTTTTTTATTGCTTTCACATATGCCACATGTACACACCCAACTGTGTGAAAATAAAAAACTCAAGAACCCAGGCAGAGATGCCTGGCCGCTGAGCTTGAAACTGCACCTCTCGTGTCTTTCCTTTGCTGACGCCGTCCATCCATTGGGAATCCCTGGACCTGCTGGAGCTGGAGTCCGGCAGAGTGGCGCCGGAACAGGGACCCTTTGGTAAGCCCCCCTCGAGAATAACGGGACGGATAGGACTCCACCGTAGGGTACTGCAGACCCCCTTGTAGAAGAGAGTAAGCGAGGTAAGAAGGTGGAAAGTGTTACAGAACTATTTGAGAAGTTATGGGCCATACTGAGTCAGAAGAGAAACGACTGTATAGAAATTACTCAGCATACACTAAGTAAAAAAGAAATGAAAGTTTCTACACATAAAATCCAAACCTTTTTGGGTTTTGTGCAAGAATGTTGCTCCTGGTTCCCAGAAGAAGGTACAGTCAATCAAAAGATCTGGGGCAAAGTAGGAGAGGAATTAAAGCTATATTATGAACATCAGGGACCAGAGGGAGTGCCAGTCCATGCACTAGCCCTGCGGACTTTAGTAAGAGGTGCATTAGACCTACAACATGAGAAAAAAGTTTTTACTAGAAAGTTAGGGACTTTGCCCGACCTGGATAGCGAACCACATGAAAAAACTCCCTTACTCGCTTC